TAAAAAGTTTAAATTCTGATTATGAGCAACTTTTCCTGAAAATAATATGAATTAATCTTCATTTTAACTCCAATTATATGATTATTCTGTTTGTTTGGCTAAAGAATATTTTTTATGTTATCAACCAATGAGAGCAGAGCAACAGAAACCAACCTGATTGGGTGTGTAGCAGGAGGGTGGGGCTTAAAGTCAGTGTAGATGAGCTCCATGTTTGTCCAGTCTGTGGGACGCCACCCTCCTTTCTTTGCAACTTATACTTTATATTAATTAAAAGCAAATAACATAATTTTATGAAAATAGAAAAAAACATTTTTTCAGCTAATTTTCTCCCAGTTGTCTGACCCCTGTAGCGCCCCCTGGTGGCCCCCTCTGTAGAGGAGGGAACCTGGGCGGGTTTGGATGGAGGAGCTGCTCAGACTGAAGCCTCCATCTTGAACTTTTTTTACAATGTTCTTCGCGTGACGCAGCGGTTCCTCATCCGGCACGAAGAAAAGCACCAAGGAGGAGAGACGTTGGAACCTTTCACTGCGTTCGTTTCACCATCAGACTCAATGGGCCAGAAGCAGCTGGGCGCCGCCGCCGCTGACTAAAGCCCCACCTACATCGACGAAGCCAGCAGCCCTCAGCGTTGGAGCGGCGCCGGATGGCCACATCAGAAGGTTTGTCTTAAAGGGTTGTTCCACCAAAATCAGCCGCCGGGCCAAAGCTCTGGTCCGGCCAGCAGAGGACAGGAAGGACGTGCGGCGCGGCTCCTCTGAGGTCCTCAGGTGAAGGAATGGAAGCGGAATCTTCCTCTCGGTGTGCCAGAGCTCCTCCGTCGGCGCTAGGCCCGCTCCACCGGTCAGACCTGCACCCCCCGGCCGTGCATCTGGATCACCTGCGCCCTGAGCGTCTGAATGGCGGCCAGGATCAGCTTCTGATGGTCCAGGGAGGTGATGCCGAGGCTCAGGACGTCCCTGCGGACACACAGAAACATTCAGAAGCCGTCCGTCTGGACTGACGCTCGGAGCTGGAGGAGCCACTCACTGCACGGTCATCCGGGCCACAGATTCCAGGTAGCAGTACCCGGCCGCGGTGAAGTTGTCCTTGTATCGACCCATGTCCACCGCATCCAGCCACTCCCCCACCGAGCTGAAGGACGAGATGGTGGGCAGCGGCGGCTCGGCCAGGGCGATGGAGGAGCTCAGCGTCCTGGAGGAGCAGAGATGTTAAAGCTTCAGACGCGGCAGGCATCAGAAAGCAGAGCCGTGCGGCGGCGGTGGTACCTGTGGGCCAGAGTGGACGAGCTGATCCCGTCCGGAGAGCGGACGCTCTTACTGAGCGCCGAGTGGATCTGGCTGAAAGTGGGCCGCTCCGTCCGCTCCTTCTGCCAGCAGTCCAGCATCAGCTGATGCAGATGTGGAGGACAGTTGACCGGAGCCGGCAGCCTGAAGCCGTCCTCGATGGCCTTGATTACCTGCAAACAGGAAGTCCAGGAGGTCAGGTGACCAAGTTCTTCCTGTGATGCAGGAAGGAAGCTGGATGTTCTCCTAATGAAACAGACTCGGTTTACTCTGGACCTGCTGCTTCCAGAGAACCACTCCTGTGGACGATTCTAGAACCAGAGGGGAACCAGAACCCACCACAGGGAACTAGAACCCACCACAGGGAACCAGAACCCACCACAGGG